ATAGACTATAGACTATAGACTATAGACTATAGACTATAGACTAGACTAGACTAGACTATAGACTAGACTAGACTAGACTAGACTAGACTAGACTAGACTAGACTAGACTATAGACTAGACTAGACTATAGACTATAGACTAGACTAGACTATAGACTAGACTAGACTATAGACTAGACTATAGACTAGACTATAGACTAGACTAAAGACTAGACTATAGACTAGACTATAGACTAGACTATAGACTAGACTATATACAGACTATAGACTAGACTATAGACTAGACTATAGACTAGACTATAGACTAGACTATAGACTAGACTATAGACTAGACTATAGACTAGACTATAGACTAGACTATAGACTAGACTATAGACTAGACTAGACTAGACTATAGACTAGACTATAGACTAGACTATAGACTAGACTATGACTAGACTATAGACTAGACTATAGACTAGACTATAGACTAGACTATAGACTAGACTATAGACTAGACTATAGACTAGACTATAGACTAGACTATAGACTAGACTATAGACTAGACTATAGACTAGACTATAGACTAGACTATAGACTAGACTATAGACTAGACTATAGACTAGACTATAGACTAGACTATAGACTAGACTATAGACTAGACTATAGACTAGACTATAGACTAGACTATAGACTAGACTATAGACTAGACTATAGACTAGACTATAGACTAGACTATAGACTAGACTATAGACTAGACTATAGACTAGACTATACTAGACTATAGACTAGACTATATACTAGACTATATACTAGACTAGGCTATAGACTAGACTATAGAGTAGACTATAGACTAGACTATATACTAGACTAGACTATATACTAGTCTAGTCTATAGTCTAGTCTATAGACTAGTCTAGCCTATAGCCTTGAGTATATTCTAGTATATAATCTGGTTCAGTCTCTAGTCTAGACTATTCTGGTCTATAGTCTAGTCCAGCCCAGTCTATAGTCTAGTGTATTCTATAGTATAGTCTATAGTATATATTCTGCACTATAGTCTATAGTCTGCACTATAGTCTAGTCTATAGTCTGCACTATAGTCTAGTCTATAGTCTGCACTATAGTCTGGACTATAGTCTAGTCTATAGTCTGGACTATAGTCTAGTCTAGTCTATAGTCTGATTCATAGTCCAGTCTATAGTCTGCTCATTGGTCTTTATTGATTATGTCCAGGGCAATACATGTTTTAAAAAAAACTGCTAATAATTGTAAAAGTTATACTGAACAAAGAAGTTATAATTAATCATATTTAATTACTAGGTACTTCTTTGTTCATTTATTAAGATTTTTTTTTTAAATTTTTAATTGTTTAATTTTATTAAAACGAATAACCCCATGAATAAACATGCATACAACATGCTTTAGAATTACAAATCATAAAAATTTCCATTAAAAAGTACATTCTTTAATTAAAGTTAATTTTGAGGAATATTCTTAGCTTCAGTGATCCCCATTTCTTGCACATGCATATGTATATTTTCTTTAAAACAATTCATACATAATTTGTTTAAAATATACTTTTCAAAAACATTCATATGACAATGACCCTACCTGTCCATTACTGCACCATATATTGAGGCAGTCAGATAACGTGCGAGTGAGTACATGGAAACCAGACCAAAACAGAGACCAAAATAAAAAAAACACATTCACGTTTCGTCTATTAAACGAACAAAGCCATTACAAATCAGGGATGGAAAATTAATATTTTATTTAGTATCATGATGTTGATAAAATAAAACTGTTATACAAGGAATTTTTTATTAAAATATATAGAAAATATTTTACAGAAAAAACTGTTATATAGGAAATGTTCTATGAAAAAACAGTTCTACAAGAAATTTTCTATAAAAAAGCTGTTATACAGAATAGCTTTTATAGAAAAAACTGTTATACAGAAAATTGTCTATAAAAAAACTGTTATATAGAAAATTGTCTACAGAGGTTACTGTCATACAGAAAATTTTCTATGGAAAAACGGTTATATAGAATTTGTTTCCTTAGTATCAAGACATAAACTGTTCTACAGAACATTTGCTGTACAAAAAGCTGTTATAAAGAAATTTTCTATGATAAAACTGATAAAACAGAAATTTTTTTATAGAAAAAAATGTTTTACAGGAAGTTTATTTTGTAGAAAATCTTCTGTAAAACAAAAACTTTAGAACTGTTATACAGGAAATTTTCAATGAAAAAACTATTTTAAAGTAATTTTCTATGTAACAACTGTTATACAGAAAAGGTTCTATAGAAAAAACTGTTATACAGACAATTTTCTCAAAAGAAAACTGCTATACAGAACATTTTCTCTAGAGAAAACTATTATACAGAAATGTTTCTGTGAAACAAATTTTAATACTGAAAATTTTCTCCAAAGATAACTGTTATACAGAACATTTTCTCTAGAGAAAACTGTTATACAGAACATTTTCTACTGAAAATTTTCTATAAAAAAAGTTATACTGGAAATTTTCGATGAAAAAATGTCATACAGAAATGTTTATATAGAAGAATTTGTTTTAGAGTAAGTTTTCTAAAAATGAAACTGTTTTACAGACATTTTTCTATAGTAAAAACTGTTATACCGGAAATTTTCTATGAAAAACTGTTATACAGCAAACTTAATATAAAAAAACTATTATACAGAAAATCTTCTATAGAAAAAACTGTTATACAGAATATTTGTAGGAAAAAAACCGGTAAGCAGATAATCTTCAATGAAAAACCTGTTTTATCTATGATGAAAACTGTTATACTGAACATTTTCAACAGAATAAACGAAATTTTTTATGAAAAAACTGTTATACAGAAAATTTTTTAAAAAAAACTGTTATGGAGAACTTTGTCTATATGAAAACTGTAATACAGAAAAATTTCAACGAAAAAAACTGTTATACAGCAAATTTTTTATTAAATAAACTGTTATACAGAAATTTTGTATAAAAGAACTGTTATTTAGAGCTTCATCTATAGAAATAACTAATATATAGGAATTTTTTATAAAAATATTGTTATACTGAAAATGTTCTGTAGAAAAAACTGCTATAGATAAATTTTTTTTATGTAAAAAGTTGTTACAAAATAGTTTTTATAACAAAAATATTATACATACATTTATTTTTAAAAAAAAACTGTTATATAAAACAATATTTAAACAAAATATTTATTATCAGAAATTTATGAATCTATTAAATGTTCCAATCCTGCATTAAACCCTCACAAAATGCAAACGAACCAAAAAAAAAAAACGAAATGATTAAATAAGTACTTTCAATACTCGACTCTTTTTTGCTCTTTTTAATGTCATGTTCTTCTTCTTTGTTTTTAAAAATGCAGTATTTTTTGTAGATTTTTTTTTTGTGTATACGTGAATTTATATTTTTTCGTAACTAAGGAGGAAAACTGCGGGAGAACGGTGTATTTTAAATAAAATTTACTCTATAATGAAAATATTTTGGAAATACATATGTTTGAAATAATTCTTAAAAATACAAATTCAGCAAAATTTAAAAAGATTTTTTTAAATATTTGCGTAAAAAATCATTTAATCGATCGATAAAAATAGAGATTTTTTAAAATTTTCTACAAATTTTAAAAAGTTTCCAAAATTTTTGAAAACATTTTTTGATAATTTCAAAATAATTTTAAAGATTCTTCAAAACTTTTTAAAATTTAATAATTAAAAATTAAATTCGAACATTTCTTTTAATTCTAAAATTTATTAAAAATATTATGGAATTTCGAATATTCTATAACTGTTCGAAAATTTTCTATAATTCAAAACTTTTCTAAGAAAACATAATTTTTCGAAGTTTACTATATTTTGAAGTAATATATTTTGAAATTTTATATAAAAAGTAAAATTTTTCATAAAAAAATTTTCGAAAATCAAATTCGAAAAAATGTTCAATAATTTCGAAGATTTTTACCAACATTTTCTTTAAATTATAAAACTTTTAATAAACAAATTATGAAAAATTCCAAACAAGTTCAAAAAAGTTCTATAAAATTAACAACTTTTAATAAATTTCAATATTTTGTATTAATATGAAAATTGAAGAAAAATTGTCATGAACTTTAAAAAATTACAGAATTTTTATAAAAAAAAAACAAAATATTTCGAAATTGTAAAATAATAATTTCGAAGATTTTTCCAAAAAATATTTAATTCGAAAAACTATTGTAAGCTTTTTACGAATTCGATAATTAATATAAAATTTACAACTTTGACATCCATATAAACATTTCGGGATAAAATGGGCGGACTGGCTATAGTGGGCATGGTACCATATAAAGAAAATATTGTACCATATAAAGAAAATATTACATTAGTATATCTTAGAAAAAATAACAGAAAGAATTCTCAAATTTTATCAGATCCCCTTTAGCTTCAATATGAATATTTAAGACAAATATGGGAGAACTGGGCGTGGCACCTCCCATATGAATTAAATACAAAAAATTAGTATATCTGGGAAACTATTAGGGCTATAATCCCCAATTTTTTCACGAACAACTTTTACATCCATGCGAACATTTGGGGAAAATTAGCCGGACTAACCATAAGAGGCGTGGCACCTACCATATGAATTAAATGCAAAAATTCGAATATTTGGGGAAAAAGAAGAGCTAGAATATTTAGATTTTGCACGAACAACTTTGACATCCATGTGAACAGTTTCCTTTATAGCAATTTCTCTTAAAAACTAAATCCCTATTCGTATCCATAATACCGCCATTTAACAGTAGGGGAACATCACCACCAATAAGAATAACCAAAACAAAATAAACAAAATAAAAACTAAAAACTGACAATTACAATTACAAACCAAACAATCTCATTCAGTTTTGTGTTTACGAATAGTGCTACAACAAAGGAAAAAAGTGCAAATAAACAAATTATTAAATAAAAAATATTAAGAAAACAAACAATAATAAATACGAAACAAATCTTTACAGATAGTACGAGACAACAGCCGCGCTAAAACAGACAAAGGAATCAAACTAAAAGACTGACACAAAACAATTGAGTGAATGAGGGAGTGAATGAATGAATCATGTTTCTACAGACTAAAAAGTATTCAATTTGAGCCAGACACCAGATACTCTCGCTAAAGTAAAGAAAAAATTCCTTAATTAACAAAAAAAGTGTTTTGTTTTTAAAGAAAATGTTAAATAATATTTTACTTACATTTTGTAAATGTTAAATTAAAAAAAAGTGAAAATTTTTTAAAAATAAATACAAAAACTTAAAAATATAAAAACATATATATTAAAACAATAAAATGGCCGAATCTAAATATATTTCAATACCCACCTCAGAGACCAACAACACAACCTACGACATGCATAATAGTAGTTCAGTTAAAGGTGAAACTGATGACACTGATGTCATAACCCTAAATATTCTAACAATGTATAATAATGACAACAATTCCACGTCTATGCCTCAAACTCGTTCGACGGCGACGACCACACCTACAATATCAACCACCAAAAGACTATTTTCGAGAAAACCAAAAAATTTACATTTAAAAATTTCATCTCCATCGGTGGAAACGGAAAATGATAGTTTGTCAAGTGATAAATTTAAATCAGCAACAGCAACAACAACACGAAATAATTCTACCTCCTCAACGACACCGTCAACATCGACAGCAACAACCACATCCAACTCTATATTTCCCCACGAACAGAATAGAACGAGTAAAAAACTGAATATTGGTTTTGAAAATATACGCTATACGGCGCATATGGGATTTTTTCGTAGAGGTGAGTACGAATTTTATTTAAAATAGATATTACCATGTTACTTATTTAGTTAGTCCAAGATAGGCTGATATTTTATTAGTTTAATATACTGTTTTTACTGAGGTTGGACTTTCAATTACTCATTGATTTTAAGACCAACGAAAATTATACCTGAATAGTTGCTCAAAATTTTCTATATTTTGCTCCATTAATATTCTATACGATCATAATTTATCATAACAACGAGCGGATCGGAAGATAGTTCCAAACTAGCTATTTAATCCACTTACGTTTACATCTAGCCACCGACTACCCAGGATACTTGCTATTTAAACATGTGATTATCGTAGAAACAAATCAAACGTTCCTAAATAGATTACAAAGGGACAGTCGTAAAGCTAGTCCAAAGTACATGCCAATAAACCTGTTGCTAAAGACTTTTTAAGTGCCTACTTTCTAGACTATTTGACGACAGTAAAGTGACGACTGTATCTGCTCTTGCTTAAGGAGGAGACGAGTGTCTGCACTCTCATTTCATTCGTAACGTAACGTGAATTTGCCCGATAAACGTCTTTACTAAGTTCATTAGCGAGATACTGTCTATACCAACGCGGATACGTCCTACATCATCTTCTCGTTCATTAGACCCTGGATGAATTCTGTAGAAATATATTTTTTGTCTAAACACTTTCCTTAGTTCAGTAGCGGTATACTGCGTTTGAAGATCTTCTCGTTCATTAGACCCTGGATGAATTCTGTAGAAAGATATTTTTCGTCTAAACAACTTCTGCTGTAACTGTTGCGTTAAAAGTCCATAATACGTTAATACGTCCAATCAGAGTCTTAAGAAATCTGCCAACAAGTGCTAAGAGATGTGACCATCTTTTTCCAAAGCTACATAACTACAACTTTTAGAACTTCGTTTTCATCTGAAGCAGAGTTCTCCGATGCAATCCCATCCATTAGCTAATCATTTCATCAAACCCAGAAAATTACCGTCCAATAGCAATTTAATCTGTATTTACTAAAGTTATGAAAAATATACTAAACTACTTATGACCAGGAATTAAAATCCTACAATTTCATTATGACTTTGGTTACGGTAAGGGGAGATCTGGAAACTCCCCTTTAGGAGAAATTATCTTATTCCATTAATAATGTTCTGGGCATGAAAATACAGTGCGATGTCCGCTGGACTCAAACATTTTCCACTTATCGAGAGAAAAATTCAAGTAACTTTGAATATATACATCCCATCAGGTTTTTGAGATATCGTTTTATAAAGTTTGAAACACTCTATTTGGCTATATTTGAGACGTTATAGAGTTAGATGTTATATAGATTGAAAGAAGGATGTCTATACATTATATCCGAAGAGATTCATCTAGGCCTCTATCGGTCCTGTTGTGTGCTCCTTAACTAGTGCGTCAGACCACCTCCGGTCTAGAATTTAGGATTAGAACATTAACCACTAATCTACCGGAGGTTACTGAGGCGCTATAACATAGCAAAGTTATGTCATCTGAAAGTCTAATCTATCGACATTACCCCTGTAATAACTTCTCTATTCTTTGAGATATCTCAACTTAAAGGGAAGTCTTTAATCTAACGTTCTGCTAAACATTTGGGTTAAGTAACAAATTTTATAAATATAGGTGTCTACGCGATGTTATATCGTCTCAAATATGGCCAAATCGGGATTTTTCAAAATTTATAACACGATACTTAGAAATCCTGATGTGATGGATAATTTCTAATGCTAGATTCTGATTCAGTGTAGTTCAGTTCTTAAGAAAAGTATAGTTTAGTCTCTGTGTTAAAAATTCTATCCGACAAAAATGGTATACATATAACTCTCATGTATAGGCCGGATCTTGAAAGACTTTTTTGAGAGGGTATTTATAGAGTATCCAACTATATTGGTTCTTTGAATCACCGTCGTTTCACTGTTCTATCGATACTACATTGGAATGTGTTCCTTTAAACTTACGGATCTTGTTCCCGATATACTCAAATTTATACGCATAACACGTCTATCTTCAAGAACACACCTATTTGTAGTCGATTGACCAGTGAATCGCACAATGGCATAAAGTTTCATCACAATGCACTGCATGAGTAGAAGTGATCCCCTGAGTTCTTCTCTTCAGAATATTACCCGACCAGAGTCAGTCTATAAAGGCTACCTTTATATCAAAATACCTGTAATTACTTCCTGCCAAGAATATCCTAGATAGTAACCAAATCAGAAAAGGCTGTTGTTTACTAAAATCTCTTTAAGTGATGTTAAAATCGGACAAGGATTTAGAATACCTATATGTATGAATACAATTTCTCTTTATTTTGACATTCTTCAGAAATTTCCTAAATCTCCTTAAATCTGCATATTGCGATGGTTTATTTCTCATGCACAAAATATTTTAAAGACTTTCAATACAAATTAAAGAAATTCTTGAATTTTTGCATATTTACTCAAATTATTATCTCAACAATTTTCAAACTTGTATTTCCTTATTTCTATTAAATATTTAAATTTTAAACTAAAGATTCTTGAGAAAAGTATAAACTAACCATAGTATTGCATACTTAAATAATTTGTCAACCCACTCTACTACTCAGTACTTCCCATACGTGATAGTGAGGTTTTTTTGATTAAAATTCACGAACAACAAATAAGTATAATTCGTATTCTTGAACATAAAATTGTTTGTTTTTTTTTTTTTTTTTTTGTTGTACTTTGAACCAAATATATAATAACAACAATACAAAAACTAAAACAAAACATTATATGTATTACTAATTTCCTTAATGGATATTACAATGATTTTTATAACGAGTATAAACAAACAAATTTACGGCAAAAAATATACAAAATAAATAAATTAAAATAAAAGTCGTAACAATAATTGAATCCATAAAAACAAAATTGAGAAAGGAAAAATAAACAAAAACAAATAATAGCTACTTATTATTAATTTTAATACGTGACATAGTGACAAAATATGAATTTTAATATTTAACACGTTAAATTATTGTCAGAACATTGTAGGGTATTTGAGTAAAGAAGGATTTAGAAAAATAATAAGAATATTAAAACTGTAATAATTATAGTTTGGGAGAATACATACATTTAAACTACGTTTGGTATACTATGTAACCCATCTATCATATTTACCCTATCTGTCCTATACATCCTATCTATCCCATATAATTCTATCCCAGCAAAAAATGTGTGGAAAAATATGACAAATTCAGTTAACAATCCTATGAATTTTACATTTTCCCTATCATTGGAGGGATGTCGTTAATTTTTGACAACTTTGAACTACATCTAATCTTATTTTTAGAAGCAGTAAGAATACGATATTTGGATGTCAAAAATAAACCACATTCTTTCAATGACATGCTTGTGTAAATTTCTCACCAAAATTTGATGTATTTCGAATATGTTATTTGTAGCGACTGTTCTACAACTCTTTCCTCACTTTTAACTGGGTTTTCATTTGTAAGGAAATAATTGGTTTATAAAAGCGAAAAATATGTAATCTAGTTTTTATATGTGATTAAGATGTTGTTTGTAAAGTATGACTTAATTTTTTTTGCTGGGATCTAAGGTATCTATTGTATCTATCAAAAAATTTATTAATCCTATCTATCGTATTTATCGTTGTTATCCAATCTATTCTATCTATCCTATCTATCCCATCTATCTTATCTATCTTATCTATCCTATCTATCCTATCTATTCTATCTATCCTCTCTATCCTATATATCCTACCTATCTTATTTATTCTATCTATCCTATCTATCCCATCTATCTTATCTATTCTATCTATTCTATCTATTCTATTCTATCTATCTTATCTATTCTATCTATTCTATCTATTATATCTATTCTATCTATTCTATCTATTCTATCTATTATATCTATTCTATCTATTCTATCTATTCTATCTATTCTATCTATTCTATCTATTCTATCTATTCTATCTATTCTATCTATTCTATCTATTCTATCTATTCTATCTATTCTATCTATTCTATCTATTCTATCTATTCTATCTATTCTATATATTCTATCTATTCTATCTATTCTATCTATTCTATCTATTCTATCTATTCTATCTATTCTATCTATTCTATCTATTCTATCTATTCTATCTATTCTATCTATTCTATCTATTCTATCTATTCTATCTATTCTATCTATTCTATCTATCTATCTATTCTATCTATTCTATCTACTCTATCTATTCTATCTATTCTATCTATTCTATCTATTCTATCTATTCTATCTATTCTATCTATTCTATCTATTCTATCTATTCTATCTATTCTATCTATTCTATCTATTCTATCTATTCTATCTATTCTATCTATTCTATCTATTCTATCTATTCTATCTATTCTATCTATTCTATCTATTCTATCTATTCTATCTATTCTATCTATTCTATCTATTCTATCTATTCTATCTATTCTATCTATTCTATCTATTCTATCTATTCTATCTATTCTATCTATCTATCTATCTATCTATCTATCTATCTATCTATCTATCTATCTATCTATCTATCTATCTATCTATCTATCTATCTATCTATCTATCTATCTATCTATCTATCTATCTATCTATCTATCTATCTAGCCTATCTATCTATCTATCTATCTATCTATCTATCTATCTATCTATCTATCTATCTATCTATCTACTATCTATCTATCGATCTATCTATCTATCTATCTATCTATCTATCTATCTATCTATCTATCTATCTATCTATCTATCTATCTACTATCTATCTATCTAGCTATCTATCTATCTATCTAATCTATCTATCTATCTATCTATCATCTACTATCTATCTATCTATCTATCTATCTATCTATCTATCTATCTATCTATCTATCTATCTAGCTATCTATCTATCTATCTATCTATCTATCTATCTATCTATCTATCTATCTATCTATCTATCTATCTATCTATCTATCTATCTATCTATCTATCTATCTATCTA